TATTGCACAATTTAAAGAAAATAATACAATAAACAAAACAATAAAGGAAGTTACTGCAAATCGATACATTTTATCGAAATTAATAACCGCCATCTGTTTTTTCTTTTGACAAAACACGAACTACCTTTACGAGGACATTTTGAGCATCACGAATTAGACCTATCTCTGAGGATAGTAATTACACTTTGCACAATTTTGCTTACCACTGCTTTTATAAGTAGGATTTTCGATATTTTGTATAAAAAAAGCTTTTTGTTTTTTTTTTTTTGGAATGCATATGTGATTATTGGGTTGCATACCTAGTCCGTACCTGAGATAAATTCACAACTCGATAATTAGATGAATGAAAGTCCACCACCCTTCGCACAAGCTAAATGAGAAGGGTGGTGGAATAAAGAAGAAGAAGAAAGTCCGGATAGTTTTGTTTGAAAATTTCTAAACAAATTTTTTTTTTAAATTATTTTTAGTTCCTGCAGTATATCTAATAAAAACATTATTAATATTATACATTTTAATTCAGCAAAATAAGTAAAATATTGATGAACATTACTTGAAATTTTTTTATTAAATTATTATTTTATTATATTATTTTTAAATTATTATTAAATTATATTTTTTTTATTATTATTGTTCTAGGTCCTGCAGACGTCGATGTTTACAACATAAGTGGACGTTTGAATGGACAGGAACATTGGCCAACACACGATGGACACGTCTCCATCGATTCCTTCAGCATTGTTAATGAAGGACGTAAGGACCTCACAAACGCTCCGCCACCATACACAAATGGTAAGCATCATTTTGTAATACAAAGCATTTCTTTGATCTCTTAAATCATGTAAATTGTAATAAAAAAAAATTCTGTTACGGTTGGTAACAAACTTCAGTTAAGATTTGCATTTAATGTCATTTTTTTTTTGTAATTTCATATGTCACAGCTGGTAATAAAATATTAAACACAAAAGTTAATTTCATTACAAAATAAACACATTTTTAAATTAATTATTTCACAATTGGTAATAAAATCTTCTAAACAAAAGAATTAATAATGTGTCATATACTTAATTACAAAATTGAGATCGATAAGATTTCAGAAATTGGACCAAAAAAAAAAGAAAATGAAATTAGATTGTTTTTGCAGTAATTATTTATTAAATTCTACTATTGTTTATGTCGTTTATTATCTGAATTCCACAGACGGTTAATACACTAAATGTTACTAGATTTTATAAGGAAACACTGGATTCTTATTTGGAAAATACAAATATTTTCAGCGTTTATTATTAATTAATTATTAGAACTTGATAAGTTAAGGAATTAATTCTACCAAAGATTTCATTTCCTGATATGAAATGGATTAAATGATTATATTTATAAGTTTTTCTTCGAAATATTTACAACTAAATGTACATAAATTGGCGTTTATACAAAAACATACTGCGTTCTTTGAAACGTAAATGATACATTGACTTCGTAGAATTGTTAATTTCTTTGAATTATTGGAACTCAAAAAGATGAATTATTGAAACTGTCAACATTCATCGTTGATTTAAAACATAGAGAAGCAATATATTTTCTTAATATGAAATGCGTTGTTGCGCTGAACAAAATAATGATATTCCCTTTTTTTTTCTAGTCGATTTGCCAACATACGATGAGGCAATCCAGGTGATGGCAAGCCAAAAAGCGACGACCGTTCCCGTTCCCATTCATAACTCGACGACGAGAGGTCCACCACCAGAATACCATCAAAATGTCTAGGCTCTAAACGTCTCAAACTCAACGTCGTGCCATAGTCAATCTTCAACATTTGACAATTCCTTCCAAAAAGGAAAATCGAGAAAAAAAAAAAATATTTAAAATGCATACACAAAACTTAAAAGTAATTTGTAGACACTGTTTGGGGGGTCATGGATTAACACTATTTGGTGCCTTGTGTTACCATTGTTTGGAGCCCTCCAATTCATGTGCTTTGGGCTGCAGCCCATGTCTAAATTCGCCCCAGTTCGTGGATACAATTAGAAAGCAATGAACATTCATATTTTCCCTTGTATTAGGACAACAACAAAAAATATACATTAACTATTCCAATTGTATCCAAAACAAACATAATTACTTTTATAATAGTGCTGTGCATCGAAAATACGAGTGAGAAAGCGAGAGCGAAAGCGCATTTCCTTCCAAGAATGTTTTTTTTCCATCATATCATCAGTATTCTTTTCCGTCTTCGGCAGCAGAATTTTCCAGAGGTCCGAGCGAATTATTTTCCAATTCTGTAGATCTCCCATTCGGTTTCTCCATGGAAATTAACAAACAAATATATTTATGAATGTAGATCTCAGTAACTAGAGAGAAAAAAAAGAGATACAGCTCTATCAGAAATAGAAACAAACGATATATATATATTTTTTTTTTAATTAAAACAAAACATATTGTCTTGTTGTTTCTTTTAAGGATTTGCATTTTTTCCTTTCGTCGTTTCTCCGCACTGGAGAGAACATGGAAAATTTTGAGTATGTACAAATGTGATATTTTCTTGTAATTATAAACCTATTGTGTATATATATATAGAAATATATAATTTTTTTTTATTGAAATCGTCCCTTCTTATGATTGTAAATATTTTTGTTATCATTGAATAAAAGTCATTACTTATGTACCAAATAGTTTCATTCCTTTAATCCAGATGTAATAAACTTTAAAAAAAAATTTAAAGCCATTTTTTTCAATACATTTTGCTGCTTTTGTTCCAAAATAAGTGTCCAATTTCATAAAAGATATAAATAACGTGTATTTTCACATGTAAACTACAAGATGAAATGGAAAACATTTGAAAATTAACACTTATGAGTTACATTTAATAAATTAGTAACTATAAACGGTCAAGTTCCTGACGAGCTATCAATGTTATCTGCTGGAGTTTGTCTTTGCTCATGTGAGGAATCTTGGCATCATTCTATTGCCAATAGCTACTAAGAAATTGTCAGCGTGTAAAAGACTAAACTTACTATTGTTACAAAAGAGTAACTTTTTCCTTGCTAAACTGAAATCGGACACTTATTTTGAAAATTAAAATTTTCACATATTTTTTTAACAAATTCTAATGTATCTAATTTTTAACATATTACTAATAAATCTGGTAAAAAACATCAATATTTTAATATACTTTCAAGGTCGATTTATACATTAATTCAAACGCAATTATAAAGATGTGCGTTTTTCGTACACAAACAAATTAAAATAATGTCATATAGTTTTATTATTTTTATTTATTAATAATTACTACGCAAAAAAAAGTACTTGCTATTTATTGTTTGTAATCATTTGTATTTTCTAATAATTGCACATATATGCAAAGGATTTAAAATTTATTGTTTTAGTCGGCAACTTACGACAATTGAAAGTGTAAATAATTTAATTGGACTGCTAGATTTTTAGCTATTACTGTTTTCCTGCAATTAGCTGCCAAAATAATTAAAAAAAAAACATTTTTAATGTCAAAAGCCAATTAGAAGTGTGAATACTCTAAATAAAGCTTAATATACAGACTTTAATATAAGTGTACCAATAGATTTGTAGCTTTTATAGTTTTCGTGTAAATAGTTGTCAAAATTGAAGAAAAAAAAAACCACCGCCACAAATACAGTATCTTTACGTTTCACTTTCTACTCGACAACAATTAGAAGTGTGAATACTCTAAATAAAGCTTAATATACAGACTTTAATATAAGTGTATCATTAGATTTGTAGCATTTATAGTTTTCGTGTAAATAGTTGTCAAAATTGAAGAAAAAAATAACCACCGCCACAAATACAATATCTTTACGTTTCACTTTCTACTCGACAACAATTAGAAGTGTGAATACTCTAAATAAAGCTTAATGTACAGACTTTAATATAAGTGTACCATTAGATTTGTAGCTTTTACAGTTTTCGTGTAATATTTTGTCAAAATTGAAAAAAAATAATAATGAAATACTCCTAAAATATTATCTTTATGCATAAACATATTACACGACAACAATTCTTGCTAATTATAAGTATAAATAGTCTAAATAAAGGTCAATATAGAAGCAATTCTATAATGTTTAAAAAATACAGTGTCTTTACGTTTCATATTATACTCGACAACAATCAGAAGTGTGAATACTCTAAATAAAACTTTAATAAGAGTGTGCTATTAGATTTGTTATTATTACACTTTCTATATAATAAGCTGTCAAAATTGAAGAAAAAAAAACCTCTCAATAAAACATAATGCATAGGATTTCATTTGAGTTCACAACTCGATTATACTTTTAGTGTTTTTGTGTTAATTACATGTTAAAAAAATATTGTCTTTATGTACAAATTACTTGATCACCATTCTTGCCAATTAGAAGTATAAATAGTCTAAATAAAGGTCAATATATACGCTTTTAATTGATTGTATTGTTATATTTGTAACTGTTACTGTTTTCGTGCAATTAGCGATATTCTCTAGGTATTTCAGTCGACTTTAAATGAATCTATAACTCTTTGGTCATTGCGATCAATAATGATATTTAATAATATAGAAAACAAATAAAATTAACTTGATGAAATGATGCATGGCAACAACAAAAATGTTGCTATAAAATGAAAAAAAATATCATCAGGAACAAAGCAAATAGTGTAATAAAGCAAACGTTAATCTGCGTGCCGCATGTTGCAAAGCAAATATCATATTATTTTTTTTTCCCTGTAATCATTTCTATTATTGTACGCTGCGATTTTCGCCAAGGAAACGAAGGTTAAGTTAAGTAAAGAAAGAAAATAAAAAGTAATCAAGAGACAGGTAGCAAACGAAAAAAAAATATATAATAGAATTAAAGTAAGTGTAAACATGATGTTTATATAATATAAATAATAAATACGTATCCAGACGTTTGTAAGCGGGTAAAAACGTTGGTAATTAGTTTAAGACTGATAACGGAATTAATTACCGAATGTCGCTGGAGGTGCGCCTCGAACGTTAACGACTGACACCTCTCTCAAACACAATTCAGCTATGGGATGAGGCAGATACAGCTCGCAGCAATCCTCGCGTAAAAAAAAGAAGTTTCTCAAACGAATTTCAAATCAAAGATAGTTTCAAGGGAACACCACGAAAACGCACTTCACCCCACGTCTGTTAAAAATGTAAAAATTATGGGTAAGTAGCATTTTTCATTTGTCCTCAAACATTTCTAGACTTTATCTTAAGTTATTCAGTTGAACGCTTCAAAACAGAATAAACATAAATTGGGTGTTTCATTCGTTTCCATAATTTATGCGTTATTTATGCGAAATCGATGAAAAGACCTTTTGTCGAAAACAATTTTTACTTATACTTTGACATATTTATTATGAAATTATTCTTGGAATGACGTACTTCACTTAATTGCACGATGTTAATGACGACGTTTTGTTTTCTATCTCTTTCCAAACTCACTAGTCCATTACTGCTATTTACACATCTAAAAACAATTAAGTTTCCAACGATGTTGTTCATTGTTCACGTGAGGATATTTCACGCAACGAATTTAAAATTTCAATCATTTTGCATACAACAATACCTTTACAATCTTTTAGAATAATACCAGGAAAATACATTAACTTTACTAAAAAAAATTAAGTAAAACTCAATTTCAATAGTTTATGTTTTGTAAGAATTATCTTTGCAAATTCTACAAATTGAAAATAATTTAATTTATATGACTATATTTAGAGAAGAATATTTGATTATCGTCATAAGCTGCAATTCAATTTTAAGTAGAGTTTTCTATGCGTCTTATGATTCGAAAAATAAGTACATTTTAAACGTTTATGTCGCAATATATTGCAATAAATTATTTGCAAATGGATAATTCAAATTATAACTACAAACTTCGAAATTATTATATTTTTCTATATTGTAACCATACTAATATTATATGCTACTAGTACATAGTTTACATTGAAAATAATTTGAAAAATCTTAAATATTTAACCAATTTTTCGCGTTGTTGTTTATTGGGTACGTCATGTATGGTAATTGAAGAGTATAAGCAACACGTATAGACGTTAAATTAACATAACATATCACTATTTTGAAAGGTTGAAATTTGCACATGATAAAAGCGAAATTTCTATAATAAACTATTTTTTTTATTCTACTTAATTATTTAAAAAGTTTTGTACTAATATTATTCTATTATTTGCTTTTGATTAACCATTAAAATGACAATTATCAAACATCATAAATGACAATGTCTAATTGACAGGTTATTCAACAGACTTTGACATGCATTTTTGACAGATGACATCTCACATTTTTAATATTAGAAACAAATAATAATAATTGAATCAAAACAACGCTTAAATGATAAATTATTTTTAATTTTGCTATTAAAAAAATAAGTATACCGTTTGACAACAAATAATTTCCATAATTTTTAATAAATATTAAATAAAAACCAAATTATTTTTTTGCTTTCTTATAGTGAAAAACCCACGAATATTGAAGCAGAATGTGACTTTTCTTCAGCAAAGGTTATTCTTAATTATATACTATAAAAAAATATTGCTTTGCTAATAAGTAGTAATACAATCACACAAAAATGCCAATTATCGGTAATTGATGGGTAAATTACCGGTTTTTGCTTAAATATTTACCGGTAAAAGAACATCTAGGTAATTAAATATTGTATATTTCATTCTTCTTCAGTAAACTTTGAATTCGTAATATGAGAACACATTTTTTTTTTTGTCAATTCCAAAAATATTGCAACAATTGCAAATATATATTTAATGAATTTTCATTATAATTATTTTGAAATAAACGCAAAAGAACAGAAAATAATGTAATTATTAAGTTAAATAAACATTTATTTAAAAAACAAGCACAAACAAATAACATTCTACTACTGTTTATGTGTAATTTTAGATGTTGTTCAAATATTTACTAATTCTGTGTTTCCTATCGTTTATTATCGTATGAAATTAACACTACACGTATTTGTTCTCAACTAATTAGCGGTTCTTCCTTTTACACCTTGAAATATCTTTTGATTGCATAGTATTTCGTTTAGTTATTAATACTATTATTATTGACTTCTGTTTGTTAATGAATACAATAAACTAGAGAATCGAATGGTGTTCATGCAAGAACGTTTTTGTAATATTTTGTGTCAGTAAAATCTATCATATATAAATTTATTAAGTTCATTATTGTAATGATTTACAGTAGAAAGAATAATACAACTATTATCTTATATAAAAATTAAGTTTTAGTGGAGATTATATGTTTTTAATAACTATTTCAGTACTTTCTTCTATTGATAAAATTTAGAATCATTTTAGTTTATTTTGTGTTACTAAATAAAAAATATTTTTCATAAAGTAAGATTTAATCAACTGAGAACAGTTTATATAAAATTCTATAAAAAAAAACAAATTACTCACATATTTATGATTATCTATATAATTTCAACTATAATTGATCTACTAATTAATATTATGTAATTTTCTGAAAAAAATAAACATTTTCCATTGGTTTATTGTTCCAATATATATGAGTTCATCGTGAAATAGGAACATTTGATAAGATTAGCTTGAAAACAGAGCACATTGATGCAATTTTATCATAATAATATTCTTAATAATATTTACAATTTCAATACATTCATGAACTGAGAATCTATTTCATATTTTATTATTGTTTTTACTTGTATATTTTGTTTAAAAATGCTCTGATATATAAAATTTTAATAAAATATTACGTAATGTATGTTAATGAATGAAATCGGACTGTAGACAATAACAAAAATGAAACTGTTTATAATTATGAAAACGTGCAGAAGTTGACTTTATTAATTTCTTTAAATTGCGCTAATCATGTTTTCGTAAAATGCATATTATTATAAATAATTTGATATAATTGTAATAAAAACACATCTTTAGTTTGGATTTACTCGAAAACTATAATAGATAGAATGAATCCAATATATGCATGTGAAAGCTAAATGTTTGGGGAATACAGCAAGTGTAGATACATTCCTGTGCTCTTATTATTGGACATGGTAACCCAGTTTTATGCACAGGAATGTATCTATACTTGCTGGATTCCCCAAACATTCAGCTTTC